CCTTCCTCCCCCTCCCCATGGGACACACAGTCATACCTCTTTACAGAATCAGAATCAAAACAATCAAATAGGACAATGTGATGTACAGGATTACAAACATACAGCGTAACACAGATGAACCTCAAAGGTCATGACAATAATGCTTTAACATCCTCTGCAGCTTTTTCCCACATCTGCAACGTTTGTGGCTTGGAATTATTAATGCGAGCTGATGACCACTCCAGGTAGATCAGAATGGTGCGCTTAAGGCAGCCTCTAGCTTATGCTTTCTGATTTTTACGTGTGTTTTCATTGTATGAATTTCTGCTTTTCTTTCATTCTGTCACTCAGCCTGATTGTCACATTCTACAGTCGAGTCAGCCATTGCATTTCATTCATCCATGTACAGCTCAAGTGTACTTGTTTGTACAGTACATTCATGATTTGCTAGATCAAAGCTAGATGCTGCTGTCTTATCTGTCTGTGAAACCCAAAACCAGTGCTCCTGCAGAGATGCAGTGTGTTTAGGGAAGTGCACTTCACTGTGTGTCCCTCCAAAATAGATTTAAGTGCAGGGTAGGAGCCACATCGAGGTCAGCATTCCTGCCCCACTGCTCTAGTCAACCCTGAGACAAGTTAGAGTGGATCCAAACTACAGCAGTCTACCGTTTGATAGACAGACCCAGAGAAAAAAAACGTAGTATAGCTTTAAAAAAAGCATTTAAAGGACCAGGACCAGATTTAGTGGCATCTAGTGGTGCAGCTGCAGACAACAACTCTCTCGCTTCACCCTCCCTTTCCAAGAAGAAAGGACAAACTACAGTAGCCGCAAACACGCAAAAAATTTTAATGGGCCTATCTAGAGCCAGTTTTTGGTTCCGCTCAGTCTTAGATAAAAAAAGCCAGACAATTAATATCTTCAGGTGAATATACACAAACAAACACACAGTTATGCAGCAAAAACCAAGGTGTAAAGCAATCCACTGTGCAATAAGACAAATAAAAGATATTTAAGATATTCAATGCACATAGCTACTATAAGTCCTTGGAAAGCATCAACTTGTTCAAACAGAATGTGCAAATTGCATACAAAGTCAATGGAAAGATGCAATTAGAGGCTAATTCTCCCAGCGCAAACTGACATGGAGAAGCGTCTGCCCAAGTTGAAAGCTTTTTAACTTTAAATTCTTGCTTTTCCCTGGGTTTTATAAATCTGTTTATTGGAAAGAGACTGGAGGGAAATAACAGAAAGAGTCTCTGTGTGTACTGAGATCAGTCAGAGGCTGAGCTGAACACAAACACCCAAACACACTGTTGACGCGTCTGTTGCTTACTAGCTTCAGCTAGTATCTATACAGTAGATACATTGGCTGTTTGGGGCAAATCAACGCCAACGTCACTGTAGACTGATTTTCTTGACGGAGCAAGGCTAGTTGTTTCCAGTCTTTAAGCTAAACTAAACTAACTGGCTGCTGTAGCTTAATATATACTGTACTGACGCGAACAGTAGAAACAGTAACAGTAAAATCAACAAAAAACAAAGATGACGGACTCTCAGGAAGTTGAATTAGTGGTAATATTTTGGATTGCCGGTTTTGTTAAGGAAGGTTTTTCCTGCAGTGAATGTGGAATATGTGTTTGCCCATGCATTGGATCTCTTCTGTGCCCCTGCCTATCACAGAATATGACTAAGGTGCATTCAGTGACATCTTAATGGGAACTCCTATACTCATTACTTCTCCTCCAGTGACAGTGTCAAGCCTGGAGCATCATTCAGCCTCTTCTCCTCCTCTGCGACACTGAATAGCTGCCATATGGCAAACCGGACTGGTCCACTTAAAGAGTGACAGGTGCCCATTATCATCTCTTGCGACTATACATCCTAAAACAATAATAATAATAATAATATACATTATAATTATGGCTAGTAAACAACTTAAATCATCTTGTGCAGTCACACTGTAGTTTTAAACCTGAAAACTTTAAATTTCCAGGGAGATTTCTAGTACAGTGACAATCAGGAGGAAGATAGTGACAAGAGCTCTCATCACGCAAGCACACTCAGAGAGAGGGAGAGAGAGAGAGAGAGAGAGAGAGAGAGAGCAGCTACAGTCGGTGGCATGTAAGAGCTCCATCAGTTCCTCCCTTAGGGTAGACAGTGCCTTGCATTAGGACGCAGAGAGCCAGTGAGTCACCTTGCCTCAGTCCATCCTGAGAGCATTCAGCACTTCACTGTCAGCTGGTCCTGTTATTCCCCTGAACCAAGGTTAAGGAGCTGGACAGTTAAAGCTCAAGTGTAACGGAAAGGTGTTTTTATTTATGTTTTTATAGAATAACAATAAGTCCTAGATACTCAACAACAGAAAATCAAATCAGTTCACATACACAAAGACGTTTAAATAAATAAGATACAGAGAGGATGAAGGTCAGAGTTCAAGTGAAAGAGACTTCCCAACTGTGGGTACTTCTACAGTTACCAATACCATGCTTAAATACAAAGCTAGAAGTGAAATTAGCTTATTGTAATGGTTAACAGTTATAGTTAAAAGTATTTAAAAGGTAAAAGCAGTAGATAAATTGTTCAAGTTGTTAAAAGCAATTGATAAATATTGTTGAAATAGCTAAAAGCCTTTGTAAAAAATGATTAAAAAAGCTCAAAGTAATGAAAATTAATACTGAAGTGTGCAGTTTCTACCACTCCAAGTGTATGTCCAAATGTAAACTCGTCCAAACTGACCTAAATATTCACAGTTCCACTGTATTATGAGAAATATATTTAATCATTTTTAAAATCAGTTCAAATTAACACATAATAACATGACAGTGATGTCGATGAATGGGTACTTTAGTTTATCTGACAGGGCTGTGGAGGTACATTAGAGAAAAAGACTGGGAACCACTGCTGTAGCCCATTATGAAAATTATGGCGCCTGCTGTGCAATATTCAGCGGACTCACACCTGGGGGCCTTTATTCTGTGCACATCAAAAGAGGTGGGTCATGAGTCTTGTGGTCACGCTCTGAGTGGGCTATTTACTTTGGAATATAATTGTTTGAGAAGAAAGTGGGAGTGAGAAAGGTGCCAGGCTAGCCCTCCTGCTGCTTTAAATGGTTTAAGATGAATTTCCTGCAGTTTGTGCAACTGCTCGCCAAAGAGGGCACATTGTGAGCAATAAAAGCAATAAAGGAGGTGTTTCAGAGTAATCCCTGCAAGCGAGATTTTGCAGAAACAAAAATAAGGTTTCCTTTCTTCATAATTGATCTTGTTGGCTTGTCTGGAGCGTTGGCTGAAAACTGCAGCTGTACAGGACACCTGACACTGGTGCAGCAGATGGTGGTGTCTCCTGGTCTTTGTTCCAGAGTTGTGCAGGTTGTCAGTGGCTCTCTTACCTGACCTGAAATAAAATGTAGATGAGACGGTTCCACGGCTGCTGCTCTGTAGGTTTATTAGCTAAATAACTGTGACTCATTACCATGGAATCTGCTTCCAGATGTTTCTGCCACACATTTTTTATTACTTAAATGCTGCCTGGTGAATAGCAAACACAAGAGTAGAGTAACTTATAATCAGAAGCATGGCTTTTAAATTCAGCACATTTGAAGAACTGTGGATTTAGTTGCTGTATGTCTAAAGGAAATATTAGAGTGTTTATTGTAGTTAACCACATTTTCTTTATCGTTAGGGACTGTAAGAACATGGCTAAGAACACACAAATTATGTTTCACTTTTTTAACCCTTCCCTTGGCTAAGAAACATTTCAACACCTAGCCCAAAATATCTCAAAAGTAATACACAATTGTAGCCCAGAACGGACAAACCAAACACTGGCTTAAGATATGGCTAGATGCCACTAAATCCTACACAATTAACCTGTAAACATCAAAGTCTGTTTACAGGTCTTGGCGAGTACTGCTGTATATGTGAAAAAAATATGTATTTTGTCTTTTGTGGCTCCAGAGGGATCTACACAAAATCAGAAAAAATGGCTCAAGTGATGTCACTAAATTAGCCGCTACTAGCACAACACACCTGATCTCCTACAAAACTGTTGAGGGTCAAGTTGTGTTATGGGTAATGTAGGGATCAGGTTTTGACAAGGAAGAAGAATAAGTGTAATAAAAAAGGCAATATCTGCTTCTGCTGGATCGATTTTAATTTCTTTTTTTACCGTCCATCATAAGTCCGACAATGTTTTAGAGTGCAATGCTAAATACTTATACAGATTAATCAAAATGTCTTTATGAACCAAGACCACTTCCCAAAACAATTAAGACAACACTGAAAAGAAAGACAACTCCCCAACTTCTTTACAGTCCCTTGCATGTTTTACTGTCTCAATGGGGAAAAGTGAAATAAATCACTCTAACAGCAACTGTCTGCTCCTGAATGAAGACTGTCTCCTTCGCTGCAGGCAGCATGTGCATTAAATTAACAGCATATTATGAGACAGGAGCCATTAAAGCCAAAGCTACTTTTTTTTCACACTGATTAAAGGGCTAAGTAGAGAGTGACTGCTTTCAGCCATTTCATAAGTTGACATCCTGCAAACACTAAGAAGGGTGCAGTACGAAGCTGCAGAGGAATGAGAAACTGTCAGCAAAGCGAAATGGAGTGCAGTCTGCCTCGTCACCCTCTGAGTCAGGAAGACTAACTAACACACAGAGGTGTGAATAATGAAAACGCATCTGAAATTTACACATTATTACCTTTGGGAGAAGTCTCTGACAGGTGCAACTAGGAGGCCTAATTACTACCCTACATTATTTTCTCATTCAGATACTCACTATTCAAATAATTACACATTTATATGACAAATATAAAAAGAGGAAAGAATTTGACATTTGAAAGGGTTTATGTTTTTTATTGCACTTTTGACCTGTAAAGAGAAATCACAAGTGAGTTAATCTTATTGCATTCATTGACTAAATCAGATACACTATTCAAATGATCACTTTTCAGACTGTAGTCTTGTGCGCTACCATGACATTGATGTAATGCCCCACTCTCTCTTTCTCTTTCAGGTGTGCTAAGTCTGCCCGAGGGTCTGACTCTTCACAGGGACCAGCAGCAGCAACAGCAGCAGCAGCAGCGAGCGGGGAAGAGCGGAGAGGGAAACGCCTACAGTCAGTCTGACCTGCGCTCCGTTGAACAGTGTTTACTGGCTACAAGAGTGGGCAGCATCTCCGAACTCAGTGAGTCGTCTGTGTGTGTGGGTATGATGGGAAAAGCCTGGGTGGGGAAGTGAAGAGCCAGAGTTGACACCTCCTTTAATATGCTCTGTAGTCAGTGGTCAGAGTCAGGTGATGATAATTTAGACAATGTTGTGCTTTCAAGACCCATTCCTGTGCAGAGCTCTATAGAAAAATGGTTTCTCAAGTTTGGTGCAGCAGACTTTGACTTGTCTGTACAAAGGCCTGACCTCAAACTCATCCAACACCCTTGGGGAAGAATTGGAGTTGCAACTGCTAGCCAGGCTATATCGCCCAATACCAGTAACTGACCTCACTAATAGGCTTTTTTCATAGGAGGAACTACACTAGGTGTAACTAATAACATTAACAAGTCTCCATTCTATTCAAGTGTTCCAGTAAGTAATGACAGTGTGACAGAGACCGCTTTAGGTCAAGAAGTCTACCTTTGAAAAAATACATCAAAAAGTCTGTGTGTGTATCAGGGTTTGATAAATATGGCTGAAAGCTAGTAGTCGTGGTTTTTAGCTGAAATTGCGGACACCTGTTATTTTTGGCTGATATTCAAGAGTTTTAAATTGGACCATTTTCATGCCAAAACAATATGCCATGTTCAGTACTTAGTGGTTCCCCCAGAATTCTGTTCTTTGCTGAAAATCCTTCTGATATACCATCTGATACAAAAGCTGTAATTATTTTTGGTGTTTTAGCAGCTCTCTCGGGCAGAGAGACCCACCACACTTACTCAGTGGTAGAGAGTGCTTTTTAGCCCAGTTTGCGGCATCACTCTTGGGATGGCAATGTCGGTATGTCGGTCAGCCTGCTGGTCCACCACTTTGGCCCAAACTAGAATTATCTCAACAACTATTGTGATGAAACATTCATGGTTCAGAATATTTATCCTAATGACAGAGGTGACCCCCTGACTTTTGTTCAACTTGTAAAGGATGGATTTTGCTTCTACTCTTCCTCCAACTGTACAAAAATTAAAACAAAATATCCGATCACATCTTGCCCCGGTAACGTCATTCGGAGCCAGAGTCTGCACAGTAGCGATGGGGTTGGTGGAGCCGTATCCAGATCCCGCCAAGCCGACTCAATCACAAGCCGGGCTCAGCTGCCAATTATGATGCAAAGCACCCTTTTTAAAGCTTCAAATAATTAAAACCGAACTTGTCAGAAAAATCAATGCTTGAATATACATCAGCCTGATAATGAAAATGACAGAAACAATCTTTGTGAAAAATGTATTTGACGTGTACTTTGTTTTTGTTTTTTGTTTGGCCCATATTGCATCTGCTAACATTGAGGCAGCGGGCTTTATGACCTTTACCTGGGGAAGTGAACTGTCATGTCGTCCATCTTTATATATGTTGATGGGCTAGTGACATAGGTTCTGAGAAATGTCTCAACAAGTATTGGATGGACTGACATTTGGTTAGGGATACATTTTAATGACTTTGGTCTGGCCTAAATTTCTATTTGTCCAATATTTCGGTTTTCTAATCGACCTACCTGCTAAACTAATGACATTCGTGTGAGCCTCAGCTGTGCATAGTGCTAAGTAGCATTATGTTAGCATGTAAACATGCTTAGCTAAGATTGTAAACATGCTTACCCTTGCATTTAGCTCAAAGCATCTCTGCAGCCTCACAGAGCCACTAGCATTGAGGTAGACTCTTTAATGAATTTATCATTACAAGAAATTTTGATTGCAGGTTTTTATTAAGGTTTTTAGGTGTGCAGCTGTGGTCAGCTAGAAGTCTCCTTCATATTTGGATGACATTATTAACTGATATATATGATATATGATAATGTCATGTTTATTAAGGCACAAACACTGTCCCATGCATTCTGTAAATCACTGTATCACAATATTGCTGTGTGTGTGCGTGTATGTGGGTTCATAAGTGAATGTGAATCAGCGGGAGTTGCACTGTGAAAGAGAACAATTCTAATGAACTTCAGCCATTCATTAAAAAATGATTTTAGCTTATAAGTTTGACAAGCTTTCCAAAAGTTAATTGCATGTCGTTCCACTCCCAATGAACTCATTATTCAAAGAATAATGGGCATCTGAATGCTTTCGGAATACGTTTATACAGTACGAAGTCATTCACATAAGCCTTAGGAGTCTGCTTTATACAATATTAA